TCAGCTGCCTCTTGCACACCCCCCATTGGGGATGTGCCCACAACCAAGGTACATGCTCTTGACCGGGACCCCTCAGTCCGCAGGCCGACGCTCTATCCATTGAGCCAAACCAGTTTCGGCAGATATAATAATATTTAAATAGAGCTTTGTTCTGAGGCAGATCTAGATATATAAATATAGTATCTGAATATATATATAATCAGGACTATACTTTGATTTGCATAAATTGATGTCTTTAAAATCAGGTTTGCTCCAAGACAATTTTGTAGAAGAGAAATTTAAAAGACCAAATCCTGGAGATGCTGTTTGGAACAGGACTAGGATTAGGGCACATCCAGTTACCTCTTTTGATGAAAGCATAGAGACATCAATTGAATGTTTGATGGTAAGAAAGGCTCCTTGCCTCCTTAGGCCACGTCTGCATGGTGAGAAATGCCCTTCGCCTAGAAAGCATCACCAAGGCAAGGTTTTGCTTGAGTTTTCTTTCACAGACACTCTACTCCTCATGTGTCAGAGCTATTAAAACATTCTTATGATCTTATTTTAACTAAATGGGTAAGAAGTATCTCTTTAAAGTCAAAATTTAAACTTATTCTTTCCACTCCCCCAACAAAAAATTAAATAAAAAATAAACTATATTAAATAATGGGAGAGATAGTGTGATTCTTACATACTTGGTTCTCTGAGCTAGATTCTTGGCTTCCACCACTTAAATTAGGCAAATCACTGAATCTCTCAGTGCCTCTGTTTCCACATAAGGGTCATTGTGATACCTGCCTCACAGAATGGGCAGAAGAATGAAATAACACATTTAACACAGGACCTAGCCATAGTCAATGCTCAGCAAATTCTTTTTTAAAAAATTTTAAACTATTTCCATTTCTCCATTTTTCCCACTTTATCTTCAATATCGGTATACTGAAGTATACATACATATATGGTATATGTGTACGATACATATATCAGATAGATGTATATTTTATAATCATATGTTATAATCTCAGGCACAGGATTTTATAGCTGGAAAGGATTTACAGATTAAATTCAAACTTCTTGTTTTCTCCTGAAGTACACACAATAATTGCATCTGTCTCTTTCTGTTAGATTCAGAGAAGTGGAGTGATCTGCTTACTAACAGAAATGATATTCGAACTGGAGACTCATGGTTTGCGGCTTCATTCTTTCTACTCTTGGTCTAGTTAACATTATTTTATTTAAATAACAATGATAACCATTTTCTCTCAGTATCATGACATACTCCATAGACTTGGTTCTCAGAAAATTAATATATAATAATGTGGCTTATTTTCCTGATTGCTGATCTCTCCATAAGTTAAAAAGTTTATCCACTTACAGGAGGCTACTGTAGCCCACCCTTATCTGTGGGTATTATGTTCCAAGACCCCAGTGAATGCATGACATCACGGGTAGTACTGAACCCTATAATGTATGTTTTCCCCTATATATACATATTTTTTTTCACTAAAAAGAAACAATTAAAAACTTTTATTTATGTATTTATTATTATAAGTATTATTAGAGGCCTGGTGCCCTGGGAGGGGGTGTGGCCTGTGGAGATCAGCCTGCTGGGGGAGTGCCGCCCAGCCTGGTCAGCGGAGCTATGCTCCCACTGTGGGAGCGCACTGATCACCAGGGGGCAGCTCCTATGTTGAGCGGTTGCCCCCTGGCTGTCAGTTCACATCATAGTGACTGGTCAACTGGTCATTTGGCCGTTCCACCATTTGGTCGCTGGGCTTTTATATACATAGATTTTTAAATTCTCATCCAAAGATATGTTTCTATTAATTTGAGAGAGTAAGGGGGAAGAAAAAAAAATGTGAGAGAGAAACATTGATTGGTTGCCTCCCATACCTACACACTTTAATCAGGGATGGAACCTGCAACCTGGGTATGAGCCCTGCCTGGGAATTGAACCTGAGACTCTTCGGTGCAGAGGACGATGCTTTAACCAACTGAGCCACCCTGGCCAGGGCAGGGAGGCACTTTATAGCTTTTCTTTAGGGTATTTGAATTGCCAGCATCACCACCCTTGCACTTCGGGGCCCATTATTAAGTAAAATAAGGGCTGCTTGAACACAGCATTGTGATACACCCAGATAGCCACTACGCAATGAACAGGTGGGGAGCTTATTCAGCACGGATATGTTGGACAAAGGGGTGATTCACACCCCAGGCAGGATGAAGCAAGACTCGTGAGATTGCATCAAGCTACTCAAAGTGGCGAGCGATTTAAACCTGAATTGCTCATTTCTGGAATTTTTAATTTAATATTTTTGGGCCGCGGTTGACCGTGGGTAACTGAAACTTCTGAAAGTGTTGACCAGGGGAGCCTATTGTACAGTTGACCCTTGAATAATGTGGGAGTTAAGGGTGCGGGCCCCCTGGGGAGTTGAAAACCTGAGTATAACTTTTGATGCATCCAAAACTTAAGTTGTCCTTTAGTATCTATGGGGGATTGGTTCCAGGGCCTCCTGCAGAAACCCAAATACGAGGATGTTCAAATCGCCAATATACAAATGGCACAGGTCAATGCATACGGTCAGCCTCTGCATCTGTGGACTCCCAACAGTACAGGTATTTATTTTTTTTTTTAAAAAGTCCACCTATAGGAGACCCACAGAGTTCAAACCCACAGAGTTCAAACTGTGATCTTTGTGTGGGTCAAGAGGAAAACCCTGTAATCATCTAAGTTGTTAGAAGAATCTTCTTCATGAAGTGGGCAAATCCTTCACATTGCATGATTACAAATTTCAGATATTGATTTCAGCCATATATAATCTAAGATTAGAGCCCTAAACAGGGGCTCACACTCTATTTTGTGCTCCATCCTGACTCATGGTAAGATCTTGGGCAAGTCACTTGACCTTCTTGTATTTCAGTGTGGCCAACTAGCCATAAAACTGAATAAAGTATGACCTCATTATAAACCCACTAGACTTGAAAGCTAAGATGTGATTTGATACATTTAAAAATTACCAGAAGATAACTCTAGGTGGTAAATATGAAGACTCAGAATAATGAATTTCCCTGTAATAAGTGAAATGATCCTATTGTTAGCAAGTAAAGTCATGAAAAGCATTGTATTTGGGTGAAGCAGGTTAAATGACAGAGGGAGAAATATTATTTTATAAATTGCTTCGTTTTCAAAACCATGGATTGTAGAAATTTAACCAAAATGATAAGAAATGAAAGAATATTAGAAGCTAATGAATCCTTAATAATGAAATACATTTCATTTCTAGGCCATTATTTCCTCCTACTCATACACTATATCCCATGTTTTAAAATATATTAAATTAACTACTATGTGAGAAACCTGATAAAAGAATACAAATTCCTTTTTTTCCTTTCTCTTTCTCTTTCTCTCTCTCCTCTTTTGGCAGCCTCTTCCCATTGACAGTAGGTTCACCCTTTCTCTGGTATTCTAGAAGGAACATAAAAGTTGACTGTCTACCTCAGCAGTCCTGTGGCATCTGCAATGTGCCTGAACATTTCCCATTCTTTTAAAATATCTTTCTGCAGGTTTTGTTAAAGCCAGAAACAAACATAACCAAAGTCCTTCAGAGCAGAGCTTCTCAATCGCACACTTTGCCACTTTCTCTGAAAGAATAAGCAAATGATAACGTGCGGCTGCTGCCCAGGCTCTGTAAACAAAAGATCGAATTGTGTTCTGCCTTGGCGAGAAAAGAAACTGCAGCGTTTTTGTTTGGTCAAGATTTCTTTTTTCCCTTCTTTTTACATGTTTTGGGTTTCAAATCAATAGCTGGAATTGTCCTTTTTTCCCCTCCCTAGTTTACAGAAAAATTGAAAACAGTAAATTTAAATATTAAAATACCATTTAAAAAAATGAATATAATCAAGATCGTAGGTTAAAATCTAGTCTAGCTCCATGGCAGTGCCAATTAGCTGTGTCTTCCAAACTGTAATCTGAGGGATTCTAACTATTCCTTCTTTCTTTGTTTCTCTGGGTTTATGAATACAGATCTGATCCCTTTCGGGATCAGTAAAATTAAGAAAAATAATCAAAGCATGGTTTTTAAGGTCTATAGGAGATGTGTAGATACATAAGTTTTAATTAAGACTGCAGTCAGGATGAATACTAGTATCTTACATAGGAAAAAGAGAACAAAACAGTAGGGGAGAGATATTATCCCCGGCATACAAAAAAAAAAAAAAAAAAAAAAAAAAAGAGGATACGTAAAAAAATTCCATTAAGAGTGGCTAAGCTTGTCTGTGGGCATGATGTGAATTTAGCAACTGGGCACCTAGAATTGGTCTCGGATATTGCTCCACATTTTGGGAAGAAAAACGCCCAGTTTCTTGCAAGAGGAAAACTGCTCTGCCCCTTCTGCAGCTGAAGGTGCCGGTCCCACTCCTCTGTCCTGTCCCCAGCTCCCCGCGGCCGCCCCTGCCCCAGGACGGGGTGCCCAGCGCAGGGGTGGGAGATGTTGGCGCAGGGAGGGGTGTGAGGGGAGGGGTTTGGGGAGGAGGGGGTCTCACAGGTGGGGTGGGGCAGGGGTGAGGGGCCCAGGGCCGCCTTAGAACCGCACTATGCAGGCTCCCAGTCCTCCTATAGGAGTGGGCCCGCCCGGGAGCACCGCACCTCTCCCGGAGCCTGGCCGGCGGCGGCGGCGGGCGCGCAGAGGCGCAGAGGGCGGGGGCGGCGGGCGCGCCGGGGGCGGGGCCAGGCGCTGAGCGAGGCGGCCGCGGCCGCGGCGGAGGGATACCGAGCGCCCTATATATCCCGCGGGCGCAGGGGCGCGCTTCGGCTTTCGCGCTGGGAGTGTCGCGCGCGGCGCCGGTACTCGCAGTCGGGCGGCGGCGGCGGCAGCGGCTCAGCACAGCGCGCAGCGCACCCCGCGCCTGGGCAGCAGCGGCAGCAGCGGCAGCGGCAGCAGCAGCGGAGGCTCCCGCCGTCTCAGCCCCGCGCTGGTGCAGGCTCCCTCGGTCCTCCTGCGCGTCCTCCCTCCGTGTGCACCATGGTAGGTCGGGGATGGCAAATGCCGGCGCAGCAGCTGCCTGCCCATGATTTCTAAACAGATTTTTATTTCCGCCCGGGTTTATTCTTTTTTTTTTCTTTTTGCTGTTAGTTTGTCTTTTTTTTTTTTTTTTTGGGGGGGGGTTCCCCTTCTCTTTCCCCGGCATTACGCAGCCGTTGCGGCTAAAACGGATACATTTCGGATTTGCATGTCGGTTTCTTTGGCCGGGGATCCTGGTTTACATGTTGGTCCTCCGGGGGCTCTGACCACAGCGGCGCGGGGCTTCCGCATCCCCCACCCCCACTCCCATCCCCGCACCGCTGCACCCAGCGCGCCGCACCCGGGCTGCCCGCAGCGCCGCGCCTCGGCCGAGCCCCCGGGGGTGGGGGGGAGGTGAGGGAGCCGGGCGGGGCCGGGCACTAGTCCCCCCTCCACCCTGCTGCCTTCCCCCGGGCTCGGAGGCGGCGGGTCCGGCGGGCCCGGGAGAATGAATGGGCCGGGGCGAGCGGGTGGCGCACATCGCTCGGGTCCCGGGCGTGGGGGGCGCCGCCGGCCGTGTGGCCCCCGCCCGCCCTCCCACCAGCCTTCCCCGCTGCTGGGCACCCTCTCTCCGCCGCCGCCGTTCCCTCCTGCCTCCCGGGGGGCGCGGCGCGGGCGTGGGCTGGGAAGGAAGGAACCGGGGGAGGGTGTGGGGTGGGGGCAGGAAGGCGAGGGGGGGTGGGGGGCGGAAGCGGCGGGCAGGCCGCCCTGCGCCCGGGCGGGGCCCTGCGGGGCGGCCGGCATTCGCCCCCGTTTGGCACTTCAGCAGCCCCCCCCCCCCCACCTCCACCCGCACCCGCATCCGCACCCCCGGGCGGCGGTGAAGGCGTGCGGGAGCCGCGGTGCACCCGGAGGCCCCTTCCCTCCCGCGGGAGGCGCTGGGTTGGCGCTAATTGGGGCGGGAGGGGGGTGGGGGAGGAGGGAGCTGGCGCGGGGCTCGGTTTCCATGAGAGACGCAAAGTTTCTGCTCCGGGAGGAGGCGGCGCGGCGGGCTCGCCGCCGGGGGGAGCTGACGCGGGTGGGAGGCGCGGGGCGGGCTGGGCGCTCCCCGCCGCGCCATCCGCCCGGGGTGGGAGTGGGAGGTCGCCGCGGCTGGTGAGGGGCGCCCTCGCTGGGGGGGGGAGGGGGTCCATCCCTCGCACCTCTCGTCTGCCCTTGGGGCACGCACCCCTGCCAGTTCCCCGCCCGGCGCCACTTCCCGGTCGGCGGGGAGATGCCCTCTGCGTTTCCGCTTTCTCTGCGGCTCCTCGGCGGCCGCCGGCGCCTGTGCGCCCCGCTGGGTGTGTGCGCACAGCCCCTTCCTCCCCGCGCGGGGCTGACATCACCCCGGCGGCTTTCTGGGGAGGGAGATGGCAGTTTCCTTGTCCCTCAGGCCAGTGCCATCGGGCGATGGTTTTTATTCTTTATTTTTGTGGTCGATGAAGGCTGATGCTCCCCATCACCCCTCCAACAGGACAGTCCCCCCCCCCCCCCCCCCCCCGCGCGGTGGGACTGTGCGCCCCGGCGAGGCGAGAGTGACAGCTTGTCTCCCGAGGCGTGGCCGCGCTTCCTGTTGTACAAGACAGACGCCGCTCCGGCGTTACATAAACCATCGCGGCTCCCCCGTTCGATAGAAAGAAGACCCATCGGGCAGCCACCAGGGTAGAGAGGAGGAAGACTCAATTCTAATACGGAAAAAAAAAAAAAAGTTTTCCATATATCGGAACGCCCTTCCTATTTGTGGAGTGAGAAGAAACTCATCACCGTCAGCTTGCTAGCGGGACCTATTTTCTGGCTGGCTTCGATAGGTGCCCTTCATTAAAATAAAAAGACATCTTAGCTCTCCAGTTCCCCTGGCTGGAGATGCAGGTTCCATATCGCCGTGCCCATTCCCACCTCCAGTAAAATGTTCCTTGTGAGCAGCTGTGTTGCCACCTTTAAGGCGGGTAAACATCCTCCGGCAGAGACCCTCCACTCCAGAAAAGAGGGGCTGTATACAGTTTCATAATGGTGTCGTTTACGGTGCACTTGGTATTTGCAGTTTTGTAACAGCTCACTTATCGGAGGTTCCATCCCTCCTCTCCCCCCCCCCCCCCCCCACCTTCCTGGCTTCTGAGTCAGGATAATTTGACAGAGGGCATTAGCCATTGTAAATGGTGGACTTTCAACGCATAAACTGCCTAATATAAATGATTGAAAGCCTTTACTGCACGGAGACGAAGTTAGCGGGATAACCCATTGCAGTATATTTATTTTCGCCCCTCTTAATTGTATCTCATAAAATGGGTATAAAAGCCCGTTAATCCAGCCCAGGGCCGTTATGTAACGCCAGTTTGGAGATTTGGAGTGCCCGCAGCAATGCGCAAGGTGCGCTAAAAGCCTGCCCCTGGACCGATCCGAGGTCCTGGCTGTGGTGACAGCAGCAGCGTCAGGCCAGGTCCCTGCTGGGGCGGGAGCGGGGTTGCGGCGCCCTGGTGCGGTAGGTGGCGCTCTTCCTGCCCAGCTCCTGCTGCTGCTGCAGCCGGTGCTGTGTGGCTCTCTGCCACTAGAGGTGCCATTTTTCAAGTAATGAACTTGACCCTTCCTAGTTAGACCTCACCGCGCACAGCCCCAAGAAAGGAAAGCCTGAAGGGAGCTGTCACTTCCTCACTTCCTGGCCATCTCCCCCCCACCCCCCCCCCCTTTTTTTTTTTAAATAGCATCAAGAGTTTTCTTTATTTTTGTTTAAAAATAAATGACAGGCTAAAGCCTTCAAACAGTGGACATATTTTAAATACTGACAAAAGGTCACGATTAAAAGGATAACGGGAGCAGCAGTGTTGATCTCAGCGTTGTAGATTGAATCACAACCTTTTCTTTCTCCATGTAGGCTGATCAACTGACTGAAGAACAGATTGCTGGTAAGTCCGTGGGTTCCGGAAGTCCCTAGTAGGCCAGAGCTGGGCATCAGTCAGTCCCCTCTCCCCTATAATATGGACTGTTTCCTAAGAATCTATATACATGAAAACAAGCAGGGATATTTAGGGGAGATGCTACTCCTCGCTAGCATTTTGGAGATACAGTGAAAGGATGCAGAACTAAGAACACCCATTTGTTACACTGTGGGGTAGCCGACGATGTTTCACGGTGCGAGATTTTGTGTATAATGAGATTGTGCTGAGTTCACTACTCAGACGTGTAGTTTAGAATTTCTATGTCACGGGTCTTTTAGTAATCCACCTTTGAAAACCTGTGCTCGCTATTCTAAAATCTATGGGAATGGGTGAAAATGAGTGTTGGGACCATTATAATAATTGGGAAGGGAGTTGTTTTAGTTTAGATTTTAATATTCCCTGGAGGGCTTTTTTTTTTTTTTTTTTGGTGATGGTTCCTCCTTAGGAAACCAGAAATGCCTTTGGGATATTCTTGAGTGCCCTGTAGAGAGAACACACTGGCTACCTGCAATGTGCATTTTAATAGCCGGCATGTTGCTAGGAAACCAAAACCAAGGCGTGCTTATGGCTGTAGAAATGTTAACAGGAAGGGGCCTTACGGGAACACAGACCAATCTCATTTCAGTGTGCTGAAGCTTAGCCTCCTTTAAAAACGTGAGGATATTGCAGTTTTACAGAGCCGGTTAACAGGAGCAGTGCTTGCTTTAAGGCCAGTCCATCGGGATTGTTGTAGTCTTTATTTCAGTGGACAAGGCGAGGCAGTTTCGGATAGCTTGCACACCTTGGACTGCTTGCTTTGGCAAGCCCCAGGGACGCGCATGCGTTGTGGCTGGCTTGGGTGAAGACATTCGTTCTAAAAGGCAAACTTCTGTTTTCAGAATTCAAGGAAGCTTTCTCCCTATTTGACAAAGATGGCGATGGGACCATCACCACAAAGGAACTTGGCACCGTCATGAGGTCGCTGGGTCAGAACCCAACAGAAGCCGAATTGCAGGATATGATCAATGAAGTGGATGCTGATGGTAAGGGCTTTGGGACTGTGAATGAGCGCCGGTGTTCGTTCAAGTTCAGACACGTTACGAGATCATCTCTCAGGTCCCACAGCAAAACAAACGTGCAACGGTCTTTTCTGTGGTTCCCTGCTGGCCACTGACAATATCAATAGGAGGGTGTGGGCCTGCCTTTTGCCATGCTCACTGGCTAGAATGTTTCCTGGATCAGATCACTGTATTGTTCTTTTCTACCTGCCGTGACCCCACAGCCCAGTCTTTCATCAACTGGCCTGTGAGTCTGCACTGAGTTCAGACCAATAGCCATAGACCTTTTTAAAAAGCTGATTGTCTCTAGGAGGAGGAGAAAAACCCTTACGTGAGGTGGGTTAGGAGCATTGTTAGACGCTAACAGAATTGGATCCCGTGTGAGCTGTAGATGTGTTTGTTTATTTATTTATTATTTTATTAATTTTTTTACAGAGAGTAAAGGAGAGAGATAGAGAGCTAGAAACATGATGAGAGAGAAACATCGACCAGCTGCCTCTTGCACACCCCCTTCCAGAGATGTGCCCGCAACCAAGGTACATGCCCTTGACCGGAATCGAACCCGGGACCCTTCAGTCCACAGACCGACGCTCTACCCCTGAGCCAAACCGGTTTCGGCTGTAGATGTGTTTATTGAAGAGAATTTTTTTAAGTCCTTGTGAGGGTTGGAGGTGTGGGGTCATGATGGACTGTAGAATAGAGCTGCAGAATCTAACAGAAGGAGAGGATGTATAAGGAAGGCATGGGGCAGGAAGGAACAAGCAAGAACCCCTATAGCAGTTGGTCACCGATGGCTCATCGTCTTCTGAATTCTAGAACAGTGGGCAATAGATCTTTTATTGCTTGCTTCTATCAGTAAATAGTTTTTGAGACACCTCCTCAAAAAAACCATATATATATATATAATATATATATGTGTATATATGTATGTATATATATATATATATATACTCACACACACATACACACACACACACATATATACATACTAGTAATATTGTAGAACATAGTACATTTTTAAAAGGTGGTCTAAGAAGAATTTGGTCTGGACTACTTGCTAGATGATTGACTTGATAGTAGTCATTTAAAACTAGGGTTTTGAGAGGTGATAAAGCTGAGTCAGACCTGTCACAGATATTTAGAAGCAGGGGTTTTAGTTAAACTTTTTAACAAATGGTTTTAGCCCATTCAAACTACTCCTAAAGACTGTTTTCAGCCTTAATATTGTTTTGGAAAAGAGGTTGTACATAGTTCTCTCCAGTTTGCTAAGGTGATCAAGTTTTTCCTATAAACTCCGGGAAACTGAGCTTGGGGACTGGCAGAGTATTAGGCTCCCCAAGATGTGTATGGAACAAGGGATGGGGGTGGGGGGGTGGGGGGCACTGGGTGTGTGTGGTGTGAGGTCCTGGAGACAGAATCTGGTATTCACAGTGAATAAATATGATGAAGCCTAAGGACACGCATCTCTCCTTGGTTGTAAGCACGCTAGATACTTAATATTGACTTAAATGAATATCAATATTGCTTCCCATTTCTGGAAGGATCTGTTGAATTACTGTTGATTTAAAGATACTGTGAAAATGAGTAGCTTGACCTAAAGCTTTTTTTTCTTCTAGTGTAACTTTATTTCCACTTAATTCAAGTTACATTTAAAAAAAAAAAAATGTATTTTATTGATTTTTTTTTTTTTTTTTTTTTTTTACAGAGAGGAAGGGAGAGGAATAGAGAGTTAGAAACATTGATGAGAGAGAAACATCAACCAGCTGCCTCCTGCACACTTTCTACTGAGTATGTGCCTGCAACCAAGGTACATGCCCTTGACTGGAATCAAACCTGGGACCCTTGAGTCTGCAGGCTGATGCTCTAGCCACTGAGCCAAACCAGTTAGGGCTCAAGTTACATTGTTAATGGAGTATTTTGTCTCTGGCGTGTTCATCTAACTCTTCGTTTCAGGGGGGGTTATTTGGAATATTGGCCATAGAACATATTCTTTGGACACAGTTTTCTAACGTTAATGGTCTGAGCTGTTGAAAAAACACTTCTGAGTTTTGCGCCCTTCATGGGAAGTAAAGATACCGAGTGGGGAGAAAGCGATTAGGTGGCTTCCCATAACGGGCCTGAGAAATGCCCTCAGAGAAGACTCTAACGCTTTATGGTCTATGGTCCTTCTCATCCCTGGGGGCCCAGATCTAGGCCTTGACCAGCACCACTGGCCAAAGCAGAGCCGGATCCCACTGACTGCCCTCACTTAAAGCGGAGCGGGGTGGGGCGGGAGGGGAGGGCGGGAGAGACGATCTGGAATGCTTCCCCGGGGAGTGGAGAGAGTCGGCCGTCAGGGCTGTGTGCTTTTTTCTCCTGAACCGAACAGCCCCCATTCCGTGGTCAAGGTTCTGTATATGCAGTTTCCTTTGCATTCTTCCATGCTGTCCAGGGCATTGGTTATTAATTTGAATCATGTGAAGTCGCCCTGCAAAGTGTTCTAACAGTTTAGACCTATCCATGGCTCGATCAAATAAAATAATTTATCAGTTTGTCCTAGCAAACGCGTAACCAATTCCATAAAGCGGTTCTAAAAGTACTACTGCAGGGAAGCATGGCCACTTATTTTACACGAGCTTTTTGCTTTCCCTCGAGGCAATGGCACCATTGACTTCCCAGAGTTTTTGACTATGATGGCCAGAAAAATGAAAGACACAGACAGCGAAGAAGAAATCCGCGAGGCATTCCGAGTCTTTGACAAGGTAACCCTGCGTCTGCATTGCAGATGGTGCTTCGGTACTGCTTTTTTTCTTTTTCTTTTTTCTCTCCTTGCTTTTTAAAAGCTTCAACAATCTGTTCTAGTTAAGAGCACTTCCCTAACTGCCCGAACCTCTGAATCTCACTTTCAAATGATCTGATTTATTGCTGTGACCAGTAAGGGGAAACATAAGTGGATGAGAAAATGTGAACCAAGTTTCTTGATTGTTACTTTCAATTTCTATTAGTTTTTGAACACCCCCTTCCTTCCCGTGTATTCTGCCCTCGCGGACTGCATGTGCATAGTGGGTAGAGGAGCAGTAACTTGAGAGTGTGTGTGATTAAGTCAGAGACCTGCTGGCCCACACTGACCCGCTCTCAGCCCCTGTTGCTAACAAATGCTGAATGTTCACAGGATGGCAACGGGTACATCAGTGCGGCAGAGCTACGTCACGTCATGACAAACTTAGGAGAAAAACTAACAGACGAAGAAGTAGATGAAATGATCAGAGAAGCAGATATCGATGGAGACGGACAAGTCAACTATGAAGGTAAAACACTGCGTTTCGTCAGCTTAGTTCCTGAGAGACTCCCCTTCAGAATCTATGAACAAGTTAACTGTTTGGCGAGACATGCCCTGGTTTGTTTTATTTTTCACGCAGAGCAGAGATGGTGGGTTCACACAGCTGCTTTTGAAGATAACCGAGTTATGACCATTTGTCTTTTCAGAATTCGTACAGATGATGACTGCAAAATGAAGACCTACTTTCAACTTTTTCCCCTCCTCTAGAAGAATCAAATTGAATCTTTTACTTACCTCTTGCAAAAAGAAAAAAAAAAAAATCATTTACTCATTCTGTTTCTATATAGCAAAACTGAATGTCAAAAAGTACCTTCTGTCCACACACACACACAAAATCTGCATGTATTGGTTGGTGGTCCTGTCCCCTTAAAGATCAAGCTACACATCCGTTTTACAGTATACATCCTCGTACTACCTTAACGATAAGGAAGCACTTAGCGGACTCCTTGCAGTTCCATTTGCTAATGATTAATAACACTGTTTGGGCTGGCCAGTTTTTCATGCATGCAGCTTGACAATTGAGCACAGTCAGGCCTTTGTATTAAAAAATGAAAACCGAAAAAAACCCCACAGAATTCAAAGCCTATTCAAATGGGTTCTAGTTCAGTTTGTTTAGTAGAAATTGTCACAGTTGGTTTGCTGAAAAGCAAATGCATTTCAAATTGGTTTACCTCAGGATGTCGTGTAGAAAGATGGGTGAAGGATAAACTGTCTAGACGCAGCCCCACGTAGCAGGATGATGGTCCCTCTTGCACTTCCATGTGCCCTGACCCGCGGTGACGGTGAGGCATCCGGTGGCGTGCCCACACGCATTGGTTTAGCGTTGCCTGCATCGTACTAGAGCGAAAAAAATGGGGTGTCAGGCTGTCACCACTCACACAAAATTTTTAAAAAAAGAAACTCTTACCAAGGGAGCATCTTTGGACTCTCTGTTTTTAAAAACCTCCTGAACCGTGACTTGGAGCCAGCAGAGGTAGGCTGTGGCTGTGGACTTCAGCACAACCATCAACATTGCTGTTCAAGAAATCACAATTTAACGTCCATTCCAAGTTGTGTAAATGCTAGTCTTTTTATTTTATTTTTTTTTTTCCAATAAAAAGACCATTAACTTAAGCGGTGTTACATGCTTTGTAAAGCTGAGATCCAAACGGGGACAGGGCCCCTGTAACTGTCCCCCAGCCCGGCATTGGGCGTCCCTCCCCCGCTTCCTCCCTCCCTTCCTCCTTCCCTCCCTCCCTCCCTCCTGGCATCCCAGCACCAACCTTCCAGCTGAGGCCTCGCCTGAAACCAAGCGGATTCCGACTGCTGCGTCACGTTTGTGGACATGTAGGTCTGTTGTGTGTTCACCCAGGGGGGAGGGGGGCGGGGGGGGGGCAGTGACTCATGGTAACAATGATTATTGAGACAGTAGCGCTCTTAACGAAAGAAAGAAGAAAAAAACCACTTTTCTCTCAAGCATGTATTTAGGGGTTCGTCTCGGTTGTGCTGCTGATTACCTGTTTCATGTAACTAGAGGCCATCTGTGCAAGAGACATGATGTAGTGTGTCTGTAACTCGGTCCTCGCCGTGTGTGGTAGAAGCGGTAGTCGCCTCTCTTAGCCGGTCTCCACGCCTGAAAGACACTACCAGTCATGCGATCATTTTTCAGTTGTGATTAGCTCTACTGTAGCCTCCTTTTACCTTTTTGAAGAAAGTTGACTTTGCTTCCTCTTCCCCCTCCACCCCTCCCAAGTAGACCTAAATGGTAGCCCTCAGCTTGAAAGCAAACCACCACCCAGAGGGGAATGTTGTGTCTAATTATAAATCTTTCACCAAAAGGAAGAAGATGCTGGGACTGGTCTTTACCGTGGGATTGGTCTGCTGTTAAGAAGCCCCTTTGGAGGCATGTTGCATTTTGCAGAACTCTTTGAAATGAAGGCTGGATGTGCATTTTTTTTTTTTCCTTCAGGGTGTTAGCTGGCGGTATCTTCTTAGCAAGGAGGTTTGGGTTCGAGTGTGTGTGGGAGGTTTCCATTCGCCAGGGAACAGTGGCAGGCTGCGCGCGAGGCAGTGAGGAGCTCTCGGCAGCCGCCCGGGTGCGTTCGGGGCTGATTTAGAGAGACCCTTGGCTTCTCCCTCTCCTACTCCCCGCCTCTCTGGCCTTTTGCAGCTTGTTCCATTTCCTGCCAGAGGGGTGGGTCCGAGCCATGGAGAGCTCGCCCGCCCACCCAGCTGCCTCTGAGACTGGTCCTCAGACCCCGTGGTTGGTGGAAGAGAGGTGGACATCATGGGCTGGGTTTGGCTTGCATCTGTAAGGAACACCTAAGAATACCTTGGGGGTTCTGATGAGCTAGGAGGACCCAGGGCTCCTGGTTTGCCTAAGGTACAGACCTGCCTGTTTCTTGCAGGGAGTTCCAACAGCCTGACGGTTGGCCCAGTCTCAGGCCTGTGGCGGAGGACCTGTTGATAGTTCCAAAGAGGGTTGGCTTGACTTTCTTGGAAACGTTGCCTTCTGTCTTTCTAGAAGCTGGGCAGACGCCATTTCAGGGGTCCCCCAGTCTTTCCCAAGAGACTTCCTTTGGAACTAGATTCTGAAAGGGCCAGGGTCCCGTGGGCACAGAAGCTTTCCCGGGGAAGGTGGAGGTGCAGCCGGGCCCACCAGAGCCTTTTTTTCTCTGGTGAGTGAGGGGACGGCCAGCCTGGGGGTGAGGTGTTTGCCATCAGCGTGAGTTTGAGAGAGGAAAGAGCTGGATGGCATGGCAGTACTTCCTAGGAGTGGGTTAGCACCTTCCTGTCAACTCCTGCCCCTACTTCTAACCACTCTGTAAATGTACACACACATACATATATATTTATACATATATATATATATAAAGTGACTAGTTTTAACTGGCATCCCGCTTGAGCCTGAGACTTGCCGTAAAAAATCCGCTGAGTACTTGGCAAACACTTTCCTGGTTTCGTGCTCCATCTGTTCGGGGTGGGTAGGTGTTGAGCGAGGCAAATGTAGCTTGGTATTTCGGATGGGCTTTTCACGCATCTGCTGCCAAGGAAGGCTTTTTTTTTTTTTCTTTTTCCTGATTTTTTTGACAAAATGAGTTTTTGCACACTTTAATTGGTATCTTTCAGCAACTTAAACACATTGGAAATTAGCTACTGTACATATTTTTATATTCTCTTTATAAGTGCATGTCTGACTGTACCTGTAACCCTATTGTAATGAGCGGCTGTCCAGTAGCAGCATATGATCAGCCCCTCAGCATACTGGGAACTTCCTTCCTAAAACCAAGAATGTACATTGGGTCAACCTGCTCTTTGTTCCTTCGGTTCTTTTAAACATTGGAACTAATTATTGTATATCTTCAATAATCCTTTTATTGTATATCCTAAACTTAATCCTTCTGGCAGTGACTAGATTCCACAAATGTGTCTTACTCTCTCCCTTCAGCTAACAATGACTATTTCCTCTCTCTTTTTTTTTTAATCCCTTGAAATTGTCCTGGAGACACGTGGCTCTCTGTATCCCTCGGAGTGGGAAGGTAGTGGTACGGGTGGGTGGAGTGTGTGTGCTCTCCAGCTCTATTGCAATGTTCATTAAACGCGTCTGTAGCCAAGATGGTGGTAGATCTTTTCGTTAACGGAAGCCGCCCTTCACCGGGGCGATTTGCAAAAGGACAAAAATGTACTTGAAAATTTCTGTAAATCGTGAGATAAACTGTTTGGAGATTTTTACCACCTCTCTGATGGGGGACCAACTCTATGGAAACTGTAAATAAGTTTTATTTATAAACCTGGCACTGTATTCAATAAACATTTCTGCAGCCTTTCATCTCGAACTGCGAACTGTGTAGGTTTCTAGCTTGTGTGGCTTTCGATCCCTTTGCTTCGTGAACGAGAGGTACCTGCCCACGGATGTGATCCTTCCCCTTAACCTCTGGGTGAGGGGCCAGAAATAACAGCCGGCTACTGCAGCCTGACTCCAGTTTGAAGTAGTTTGGGTGTTAGCTGACATTTTAAACACAATCTCTTGGCCTAGTAATGCATCCACGCTTGCTTTATGCAGAAAATGCGCACCATAAAAAAGATGGATTTCCCTTGAACCTCCGCGTTAATCCAAGTCTCTTTAGGAATTGTGGGAAGGAACACACGTTAGGAAGAAGATGGGCATTTTAAATGGCCTAAGCACGCGCTGCTGGGAGCAGGGCAGCTGGGGAACATGGGGGTGCGTACAGCTCCATGCAGAGTCTTGGGATTAAAACCTGCCCCCTCATCAGTGCCACCCCAGACCCTGGTTCCCAGACAAGCTTCTCAAGCAGAAAAGGCCTTATGGCTGCCACCTATTTCCAGAAGGATCTCTTCCCAGTTGCCTGGCCCATGTCCTTTCCTGCTCTGCCTAGAAGCAGGGAGGGGGCTGAAAAGAGGCAGAACGGGCTGAAACTGGTTTGGCTCAGGGGATAGAGCATCAGCCTGTGGACTGAAAGGTCCCAGGTTCGATTCCGGTCAAGGGCATTAACTTGGTTGTGGCCACATCCCCAGGAGGAGGTGTGCAGGAGGCAGCTGATGGATATTTCTCATCAATGTTTCCCTCTCCTTTCATCTCTGAAAAAAAAAAAATCAATAAAAGTAATATTAAAAAATAATCGCAGAATAGTCACAGTTAAGTAAGTCCTGCTGTGGCCACAAAGCTTTAGACCTCTCCAGAGAGCATTGAAATACACTCCCCCTCCCCCCCCCCCCCCCCCCCCCCGTCAGCCCCCCTACAATGCAGCAGCTGCGACTACCAGGATTTGGACATCATCATGGGGCCAGGCCTTGCCTACTTTTGGTTCTGTCCCTCTGTAGCCATGGGCTCTTCCCTTCTGTGGACCTGACCCCCCCCCCCCCACCTCCCACCCCCACGGTAAAAAGATGATTACCTCCTTCCCACCTGTGGCTTTCTAGGATTCTGACCAGCCCAGGTTGGCATCCTTTGGTGTTTAAATGGGAACCGCAGCCTAAAGGGTGGGAGGCAAAATAACGTGGGAGTGCCGTATGCTTGGAGATGACAAACGGGATTTTTTTTAAAAAGTCTCGGCAGCTCCACGGTGGGGGTGGCGTGCAGGGTAAGCTAGCTGGGAAGGCTGATGGAATATGGGAACACAGGTCAGAGAAGCCGACCACTCAGTGACATCCTCCCTCCGCACAGGACGGAAATAG